AGACCAGGGGCATCAGTCCTATGTTAAAACCACAGAATAAACACTATTTTATTATTATATGGAAACCTGACCTCTATTTCCTCCATCTCCGGGTCAGTCTGTATCTTCCTCCAGTCCCAGACCTCCTTATCATGATCACCTTGATTTCACCTTGGATTCACATGATACCTCTTACTTAAAGCTAAGAAAAAATAAAGTTTCTACCAACCAGAAACTTAGGGTAGAATGATGAATAGATGGAACATTGTTTTATAATAGGAGCAGCGTTTGGATTCAAAACAGATTGAAAAAAAAAAAAACCCAAGCTCTTTGTTTTCTATTATGATTGGATATGAACTTTCGAACCCCCAAATATTTTTGTCCAGACACTTCTTATATTTATCCCATGTCTGCCCATTAACCTTTACTAGGAACTGGGAGAAACAGACTACATATTCCATGGCACAAGGGCCATTCTCACTGCGTACCTTTATCTAGACCAGAGGTTCACAAACTACGACCACTCGGTCAAACCCTGCTTGCTGGCTGTTCGTGTGCATAGAGTTTTCTTGGACTGCAGCCACACACATTTTTATGTATTGTCTGTGGCTGCCGTCACACTCCGGTGGTGGAGTGGAGTAGCTGCCTCACAAAGCCAGAAATATTTGCCCGCTGGCCCTTTCCAGAAAAAGTCTGCTCGGCTTTGATCTAGACTTTTCAAGATCAAGAAACAAATGATTTTTCATGAAGATTTCTGACATTTGTTAGACTCCTCCATATAACTTTAATATTTTATAGGGAAATGGTAAGAAAGTAGGGTGACAATGGTGCACGGACATCTTTCCCGTGTTTCAAGGGATAGTTACAATGACTAGAACAGACTGCAATTCAGGGAGCCACTCAGTTAAAATCCGCCGTCTCCAATAGAATAACTCCCTGCCACCAGCCAGGCCTCTCACAGAGCCCTTGATATGGTCTGAGGAGAAAGGGGGTGGGAATGTTGGGTCTCCCTACATAATCTCTTCAGAGGTTTGATTTCAGAGACCACCAGATAATCTGAGACTCTTATGAGCTCTTATTAGATGCTGAACAGTCCACCTCTACAGTAAACCTTATTAAATGTACCTGTCTCACAACAAGGTGGTGTATTAAAAGAATCTTCTTGAGTAGCATTACCCCGAAAGAAGAGAGAAATGTTCCTGGTACCAAGAACTCCCTGGGAAATTCTGTATGCAATATCCCCCTTTCAAATACAAGTCACTGAGTTTGCTCTATTACAAGACCAGAGTAGTCCATCCACCTGGGTCCTTTCACTTTATGAGGTTGTGAATCGCTTTTTAAAGGCAACATTCATACATTTACTCTGAAAGGAAAGTTCAAGGAACAACAGTTTAGAGATACTTCCTGCTACCCAAGCTTGTTTCTTATCATTACAGAAGAGAATCTGATACAGAAATAGTTGTTTCCTTGTGAGTTTTTCTCTTTTCAAGGGAAAATGTCTCTAAACTCTTTTGATATTTTGCAGCTCATTTTAGGGCTAAGGCATAAAGTAATAGGCTAAGAGAGTTACACTGAAGTCCACTTAGCCCAACAGAGTCTCCTAATTATAGAAAATACATTTTGGAAATCTCTTGAAGTCTTTGTGGAATTCTCTAAACATGACCAAGAGGCCACTTATGAGCAGGTATGAGAGATTTTGAAGCAAAATGGTCAACTTATGTGGCCCAACTTCAAACCCAGTTCTTTGAACTTAGTGACATTTGGCCACACCAACATATTCATCAAGGTTGAGAGACCGTATTTGGAAGCTCCCTGAGTTGGTGACTTCCACATGGATGAAGCCAGGTCCTCAGTGATTAATAATCCCTTTGCTTGGAATGACTGTCCTCTGAAACTTCTGGTTGTGTCTTGAGCCTTGAGTAGCCTCCTTTTTCTCATGTGAGTCTACTCTTCACTATTTCAAGATATTTTAGCTTCTGTATCTCATGCCTGTCCTGGCCTGAGCAAAGAAATCTAAGCCTTCTCCCAAGTGAAGAAACAAGTGGTCAGAGGAGGATTTGGGAGTCCATGCCTTGGTGGTGGTGGCTGGTACTGGCAAGTCTGCAATGACAAATCACAGCAGGACACAGAGAAAAGTCTTCAACTAGGGGATCCCAGTTTTGGCTTTGGCTTGGCAACTAGACAGCTCTATCAAATTTTAAAAGCAGTGTTAAAAAACCATGTTAAAAAAAGCCACATCTTCACTTTGGGCTTCAGATGTAAAATGTGCCCACCAGGCGAGAAGACTGATACAGGTACACCACAGCAGCAGCCCTTGGTGTTTGCTTTCCATGGGACACACCAGGGCAGGTTTTAAAATCTCCATACCCTGGCTACACCTAGACTGATTAAACTAGAATGTGTGGTGGTAAAACCTAGACATCAGGGCCACTAATTCTCTTCAGGTCATTAGAATTTGCAGCCAGCATTGAGAACCATTTCTCTGTAGACCTTAAAGCCTGAATTTTATATCTCAAATGTCTTTCCTTAAAAAGTGATAATGAAGGATGATCAAGGGTGATCCCTTCCAGTGACAAAATATGGCCAAATAAAGAAGCAAATAATGTAAAGCCCAGATCCTAATCTTGGGTTTAAAAATCCTTTGCTTATGGGGAAAAAATTTTAGAAGTGAATTATCCTATATCCAAGGTTGATTTCAAGTCCTTTTTCTCATCCAGCGCTCTGGGGAGGCAGAGTTGGTCCAGACAAGGGTCAGCGGGAGACACCTAACTCAGGAGCCACGCTATCAACTCTGGTTGGAGGTTTCTTCACTGTTCCTACCCCTTCCCTTGCTAATGTGGGTCTCTGCTGCCTTAGTGATAATCTTCTGATATCCGTAATGTCTAGAACAGCATGACAGTTTTCTGAAATCTTTATACCCTAAGGATTTACAAACTGTCTTAATTATTTTAAGACACTCCAATACCCTACTTCTGTCATAAAAAAAATTGAATTGGGAGGATCATTTCCCTCTGATCATAGGTTTCTAGGAATAATTGAATCAAATAGGGAAATATGTCATTAGAGCCATGTAACATCAAAATCAAATGCTAATAATTAAAAAATATAATAAGTCTTTGGAAAATCATATTTATTAGCTCTAAGAAAGGAGGCAATGCTATTGAATATTTAGTGTTCAGTTATTTTCCATCTGAAATGCACATTTTATTTCAGTACATTTCTCCCTAATGTGCTTTGACCCTTATACTGCTGCCCTCGAGTTGACCCCACCAGAATTCAGTGCGAGAAGAGAGCTTGTTCATCTTCATATCACCGATGATTAACACAGCACCTGGCTCATTATAGGTGTTCAATAAATATGTTGAAAGTAAAACTAGGATTGTGTGAGATATGTACCATAAATTAAATTGGAAGTTGGGATATGTACCATAAATTAAATTGGAAATTCCAATACTGTAAATGAATTTTGATGTATAAGTATTCGTAGAATTCTGATGAGTCTTTTTAGACCTCCTCTATAATTATGTATTTTAAAAAATGGCTCAAATCAACCTACATGAGCCCACAACCAGACCATCTAGAGAAAGGCACTCAAACTCTTCATTGGATAAAGACTGTTAGGAAGCACAAAAGCCTGGCAAAGATAAGCCTGCACTTCCAACAGAACTGAGAAAGCCATTCCGAGGTGTAATGACTTCAAGACATATGAGCGTTTATCCTTTAAAAATGGAATAGTACTAGAACCCATCACTTAACCCCTAAACCAGAACAACACCATTTGGTCCACATGTGTGGGCTTTTCATTTGTTCGTATCCAGGGCCCCTGCGTGCGGTTGTACAGGTTATTTACCTCCCCCTGCAACTTCAAGTGCAGCGATAGATGAGAAGCATCAGTGTCACCTGGGAACTTGTTATCAGTGCAGAATCTCAGGGCTCCCCAGACCTACGGTATCAGAATCCATTTTTAACAAGGTCCCCGATATGGTTTATACGCTCATTACAGCCTGAGGCGCTCTGTATGACACAACAGATCTAGAATCCTAAGCCTTCAGACTTTGCAATGGTCATTTCTGGCAGAACTGATGTTGGGAGCTACACCTTCTGTGAAAGCTCACCTCTTTGGTTTCAGCTCCTGGTTTGTTAGTTTGTTTTATTTGCCTGTCTTGAAGCTATAAAATAAAATGTTTGTCTTTTAAAAAATTTGTGATCTAGTTGTTTTATAGTAGGAGAGCGTGACAAATTAACTAGTTTACCATTACTGTGGGAAGCATTCTCTACTAAAGCTATTTTTCATTTGCTAGATAGTAGGTGAAAACATACACCAGCATGGCAGAATCTGCCCACAAGTTCTTAGACACAAAGCATGTCCTGGCCTGGATACCGGGGACCACAAAGACCCACAGAAAAGTACAGTGAAGACAGACACCCATGTCAATGGCTATCTGTTTGCCAACATTCTATAATAGGCATTCTTTATTTGGGAGGGAGGCAAAAGTTGGATATGGCTTCTCAACTCTTTCTGAGAAAATCAAATATAAACTGATACCTTTCCTGAAAATATATCAGAAAAAAAACTTACTTGCAGAACAGCTTTGGACTTAATTAAAAATACTCCTTTACTTCCTGCACATAGTAGATGAACCTCACACACATGCAGTCCTACAAGATAACTGGAGATGTGTGGGTGTGTCAGTGTTTATCTGCTATGTGCAGGAAGTAAAGGGGTATTTTAATTAAGTTCAGAAAACTTAATTAATGAAAACCTCTTATGTCCCCAATGCCATCATTTTAATGAAGGTAAAAGCTTTGGGATTTAGAACTGGAGTCCCTGTAAGTGTTCACTGAAGCTGGCTCTTACCAAGATCCTTAACATCATCCCCAAGTTTGGGTCATACTAACTCTGCAGTTAAGGAATGTTCTGGCAGAAACTATCTCTAGAAGAAGTCAGACCCTTGGGAAGGTCCTTCTTGGGGCTGGACTGTGGGGGATCATAGTGGTTTCTATGGCTACCCTTGACTTACACAGCATCCAGCTTTGTCCCATTGAAAGCATGTCCTTGGATTGAAGTAAAGCCATTGTTGTACAGTTTCCTACAAACAGAGAGAGGAGAAATCAATGACCTATGAGAGGCGATGCTGGCCCTTTTCAGAGGTTGGGCTTCAATTCTTCAGTGTCAGAAATGTGCCTGGAGGTTCTCAGGCCCCACATCTGAGCCCACGAGAAGACTTTATAGTATGTCTTGCTTGGGACATGGAATAATACTTTTCTGTTTGAATTCCCATTCTCCAGACTTAGCTTCTAGTAGCTTTGCACTGCTTCTCAGAAGCAGATTCACTTGAAGGAACAATGATTTGCCACCATTAAGGACTTTAAAAAAAATATTCCACATACACTCAAATAACAGTGGTTTTAGTTAATAGTTAACCCAATATCAATAATGGAGAAATAACTGCAGTTCCCTAAAATCAACACTTTTTTCTTTTCTAAAAATATTTTATTGTTGATGCTATGACAGTTGCCCCAGTTTTCTCCCCTTTGCCCCCCTCCACCCAGCCCTGCCTCGGGCAATCCCTGCACCATTGTCCATGTCCAAGATGAACACTTTTAAAGACATTATTCATCTGAATGCATAGGCTTTATATCTCTCTGTTTAAAGTGCTATTTTGAATTTGTATTTTATCTATGTTTTTATCTCAGGGATTATCATAGATTAAATGATTAATTGTGTGGGCTCAACTAAATCGAAACTTAGAGACAAATATAACATAGCAGATAGGGTGAATTTAAGAAAGTAGATAGACTATTGTGGAAATTTTAATGTTTTAATTTGTTGCTATGTTCCTTCGACTAATTAATTTATACAATGATTCAGGGCTTGACTGAGGTGTTATCACCTCTCTTTCCTACTGAAAGTACTGCAACACGGAGGTGACTTGTCCAAATGACACTGCCGCAGAGCTGTCAGGAATCAGGGCTCTTGACCCCAAAAGCCATTCTTCCAACTCAGCAGAAAATGCACCCTTCAGGCAGGAGAAGGAGCCCCAGCCGTGGGAACTCCGTGTATGAGAGGGTGCATGGTGGTTACTGAGAAACATTGTTGTGCAATAAGAGAAGGCAGCGGTGATCACAGTCAGGCACTGTGAGGGGCAGCTGTGGGGGAACTTGAACACCAGTGTAGTCCCACCTGTACACTCTGGTAACACAGGAATAAGCACAAAAAGAGACTCCAAAGTTGCAATTACACCTGGCTCTGACACTTCCCAGTAGGTGATCCTGAGAATTTCTCAACCTCTATTATCCTCACTTTCCTTATCTCTAGAAATATGATAATAATGCCCAATCAAAAGGTTGCTGGGGCAATGAAATAACTATATGTTCAATGCTGTGAGATACACTTACCCCTATTTTTTGGACTATAAGATGCACCTTCCACCCAAAATTTGGGAAGGAAAGGGGTGTATCTTATGATCTGAATGTAGCTTACCTAGCTGGCTGTTTGGGGAGGGGTAGTGGCCTATTTATTTATGTCATTAAATATTTTGCCACATTTTTTGCTTCAAAACATTCCCCCTGTTTTCCTCCTCTAAAACCTAGGTGCGTCTTAAGGTCTGGTGCATCTTACAGTTCAGAAAATTTGGTAGATGGCCATGAAAAGTTGGATTTATCCTATGTGTTGAACTAATAGGTAATATTTGCTTGTTTTAAATAATTATGCAATAAGTTTAACTGCACCTACCAAGGTATCCTAGGTGAAGACTTCAAGGCACAGGGGCACTGGGCTCAGAGGCTGAGAAAGCACTGATCATTATTTCTGTGTGTGTGAACTGAGTTCTTTTATGAAGATGTGAGAATGACACATTTGAAATTTCTATTCACCCGAACTTTGTTGAGAGTCCTAGATGATTAACAATATTCTTTGTTGGAATTATGTTTCAGAGATTAAAAGAAAGTATTATGTAAGTAGGTCTTGAAAAGAGAAAACAGCGCAAGAAGAAAAATAATAAGGAAAGATAAAGGATAACAAACTTTAATTGAAACCTGTTTCTACCAGGAATCTGGGTACAGACTTTTCTGTGGGACACATATCCTTTCATGTTTGCAGTTTTTTGAGCATGAGCTTCAAAGAATCAAGGACTTTTGCAGGAATGTAGAAATAATCATCCGAAAAGATAATGAGTAGCCCATGCTATCCCCACCTCTAGATTTCAGGAAATCCTCATTTCCATGTTTATCAAATACCTGCTGGGCCCCAAACTAGCTGTGGGACAATGAGCTGCTTTCACTTGGGTGAGCTGCTTGGGATATGGGGTCCTTAGGGGAAAACATGCCCAAAGGGGAAGGTAACATTCTGCAAAGAAACTGAACGGCCCTTAGGTATGATGAGCAGTAAATGGTACAGTGGAAGGTTTTACAGAGGAAGTAAAAGACCCTGAGGTCTGGGGGTGAGCAGGCTAAGACCCCAGGTCTTTGCTGTGCTGACAAATGAAGTGATGGCAGAGAAGGAGTCTATTCTTTTCAAGAGAGCACTCTTGTTTCAAGAAGGATGTGGGTGGATCGAGCCCCAGTGGTTGAGACAGTGTCGTGGGGCCTAGATTGGTAGACTTGGAATGGCTTGGAGACAGGCTCTTAGAAGAATTGTGTGGAAGTTGAAGCAGTTTTGCTGAGGAATAATTCAGTGAGGTCTGTATATGATAAAGAGTCCCTGAACTGTAGTGTGACCAGAGAGGGGGCTGGGTGACCATCTAGGCAGAACACCCACCATGCCTGCTCTTAGGCATGATACTAAAACGAGAGAGGGAGGACCCCTTGCACATGGTCCCAACCCTACTTTGTGGCTCATTCAATAAAAGAGGGGAATTCTTTACCAGGTTAAAGAGTAAACTTATTTTTAATACCTCTACTTGATCTTCTTATTAGGACATTTTGTGAATTTCCCTGAAAAAGCATCTCTTTTTGAACATCTACAGAGTAGAAACCATTCAAAATGAAAAATGATGTTGAGCAGCACTGTATTTTCCATTCAATATCCCTTTATAAGAGCTTAATAATAGTTGGTGATGACCAAGGTAAAGTGTGAATGCAGAGAGTAAGAAAACCCCTTAGGAACACCATTTCCTAACTCTGACCTTGGGAAAATCACTTAAATTAGCTCGAGCCTTGGGTTCTCCTCTTGCCCAGGAAAGATATTAGAAGACGGACCGTTACAACACCTGCAGGCCAAATGTGGCCCACTGCCTGTTCTTTAAAGAAAACTTTATTGGAATATAGTCATGCTCATTAGTTTACAAATTGTTCATGGCTGCGTTTGCCTTAAAATGGTAGTTTAGCTGTTACCGTTAAGGCCACATGGTCTGTAAAACCTACGTGGCCTTCTACAGATAAAGTGTGCTAGCTGTTTCTACAAAGACATCCTCTTGTCTTGATATCAAAGCTGTTTTGTCATCTATGCAGTACCATACCATAAGATGATGCTCTTGTTTAATTATGTAAAACCCTCAGTAGACCACAGAGCACTCACTCTGAGGGAGTGTGGATCTTAGATGGCCTGTGAAAGTAGGATATCAAAATTCAGTTGTTAGCACTTGTAGAATGAAAACTTATAACAATACTCACAGAGTCAAGGTTTCATTGCACAGACCCTGAAAAGCATTTGCAGGGATTGAAGTCATGTATGGGTTGTCTGTAATTTCCCTGCAAGAGAAAGATAAAAACACTTGGTGAAAAACAGTAATTTATTTTATTTTTATTTTTTGAAGTTGGACTCTTGTGGCACGTATGCACTTCAATAAACAACCTGACACAATTTAGTTTAACCTCACTTCTTTTTACATTTCATTGACTCAGCTGCTGGTGGCTGAGAGGCCAAGTGAGGTGATGAGAGCCATCCTAGACAGATAGACACTCAGAGCCCCAGATGTCCAGTAAGTAAGTGAGCTTTGGATTTGGCTGGAGTCCCTGACTCAGTTCTTATCTGCAAGGGGAGCAGGTGGGTCTCAGAGACGTCTTCTGAATCTGTGACAAGTACGTTGTCCGTATCATCTAGAGTTTTCTAAGTATATGGCACTTCTAAAAAGAGTCAGTAGAATGAGATCAGTGGGTTTCATTTCATGAGTAAGTGTTCTCCACTTGGAAAACACCGCATAAAAGGGTGTTGTTCCCAGAGACATTTCTATGCCAATCTAGTTGCCCAGAGGCTGTCTGTGTTTTGAACTGAGCTCTTCTGCAGCAAAGAAGCATGGTCAGTTTTTCTTAGCAAAATCCCAGCAGTTTGGATCCTATCACCCCACATTTCACTGACTCTGTAGGTCAAACTCAACCTGTAACTCTCTTTGTGTACATCCTTTCACATTTTTTTTATATCTACTTAATTTTTAAAGTATATTTTTGCTGCGATTCAGCCGCAGCAGGGTCCAGGGTTTCCTGAAAGGTGGGTAAGGCATCGGTGAAGGGTAACAGACGATAACATCCCTCAAAGGACAGTGAAGCTCTGTTCCATTTATTGCAAGTACAAGCAGGTTTTTATATCTTCATTTTTGGCAGTGATTAACATTTGCAGTATAGCATGATGAGTTAAGCAGAAAAAATCAATACAAAGGTAACCAGGAAAAGTATAAAAGTTCCCATAAATTCAGTTATATTAAACAAAGATTATTTTGACCAGGAGAGCCATATATCAGACAATTAGAAGTAGTTGTGTACAGAGTTTGAATGTCTTAATGTTTATTAAAGTTTCTCAGAATTTGTCATGGGGCAAAAGGATACGCTAGATTGAGTAGAGGTAATAGGAAATTTATTATAAGGCCTTTGTGATGTCTAACTTAGCTGTCTATCCTTTTCTGTCTAAAATGTTTCTCTGTGTACTATAAACTCTGACTCCCTAGTACTGTTTCTACATGTTTAGTTTGTAATAACTAACCAGCTTTTGTTATTTCTTTGTCTGTCTAATTGATATATATTCCTATTCAAGGTAAAGGAGGGGCTATTACTGCAATAACTTTTAGAAATATAGGGACTTTGTTCTCTGGTCAAGAAATTATTTTGTACAACTTCATTGGAATTATGCTAATCAATGAACCTGAAATACAAATGTCTAACAATCCCACCATCTTTTGATCACCCAAACAAACATGTAAGGAGAGATAGACAGGAAATCCAGCCACAGGTGCCTCTGCCTTGCAGGTGCATCTCAACCGTCTTGATCGTATCCCTGGGCTGTGGGTAGGCATCTATATAGTTTTTACTTGTTTTCTTGGAAGACCCTTTGTATCTGTGGGTAAGGAACAGTCGTGGGAAAGTCTTTCTAATCTGTTCTTCCATTCCCTCAACTGTTGGCAGCACAACCTGTGTTTGCAACAATAACCTGGTTCTTTATTAACTGGCCTTAACTGTTGATTTAAGAGATCTAACTTGTTTTTCTTATTTCTGGTACACCATGGCAGTCCCGATTGCTTTAAGTTGCTCAAATCAGGGTAATTTATACAACTTGACATGTTTTCCCTTATGGTTAACAATTATACAGAGGCTGTCGTACACCCCTGTATAAGGGAGAAGGGAACCTGTGGGGATTTTTCCATCCTTCCAGGCAGTTCCGTGGGGAATACTAATGTTTTCCCCTGAACTGTCCCCTCCTCTTGGGTGATTTTCACAGGGATAAGTAAGTACAGAACAATGTCTATATTCAGTAGCAAGAGTAAAATAATTAAAATAAAATAACCAATTGTTAACCCATTTTGGATGCCACATTCTCCTCTGGGGAGACGAATTCCTTGAAGCCAAGTCCTCCATGTCCGGACCTTGTCAGACAACATGGTTGGAAGAGGACGTGGCATATTTTATTGACTATGCTATTACAGTTGTCCCATTTTTTCTCCCCTTTATCCCCCTCCTCCCTGCATCCCCCTACCCTCCAGCATTCCCCACATCCCTTAGTTCATATTCATGGGTTTTACGTATAAATTCTTTGGCTTCTCTATTTCCTGTACTATTCTTACCCTCCCCCTGTCTATTTTGTGCCTACCAATTATGCTTCTTATTCTCTATACCTTTTTTCCCCCTTCTCTCACTTGCACTCCTCACTGATAACCCTCTATGTGATCTCTACTTCTGTGATTCTGTTCCTGTTTTAGTTGTTTGCTTAGTATTTGTTTTTGTTTTTTAGGTTCAGTTGTTGATAGTTGTGAATTTGTTGTCATTTTGCTTTTCATAGTTTTTTATCTTCTTTTTCTTAGGTAAGTCCCTTTAACATTTCATATAATAAGGGCTTAGTGATGAGGAACTCCTTTAACTTGACCTTATCTGGGAAGAACTTTATCTTTCCTTACACTCTACATTATAGCTTTGCTGGATAGAGTAATCTTGGATGTAAGTCCTTGCCTTTCATGACTTTGAATACTTCTTTCCAGCCCCTCTTGCTTGTAAGATTTCTTTTGAGAAATCAGCTGATAGTCTTATGGGAAGTCCTTTGTATGTAACGGTCTCCTTTTCTCTTGCTGCTTTTAAGATTCTCTCCTTATCTTTAGTCTTGGGTAATGTAATGATGATGTGTCTTGGTGTGTTGATTCTTGGGTCCAACTTCTTTGGGACTCTCTGAGCATCCTGGACTTGCATTTCTATTTCCTTCACGAGATTAGGGAAGCTTTCCTGGATTATTTGTTCAAATAAGTTTTCAATTTCTTGCTCTTCCTTTTCTTCTTCTGGCACTCCCATGATTCAGATGTTGGAACATTTAAAGTTATCCTAGAGGTTCCTCAGCCTCTCCTCATTTTTTAAAGTTCTTGTTCCTTTATTCTGTTCCAGTTGGATGTTAATTTTTCTCCAAATCACTGATTTGAGTCCCAGTTTCCTTCTCTTCACTGTTGGTTCCTTGTAGTTTCCTTTATTTCTCTTTGTGTAGCCTTCTTGTCTTCCCTCCTTTTGTGACTGAACTCAATAGTTTCTGTGAGCATCCTGATGGCCAGTGTTTTGAAATCTGCCTTTGATAGGTTGGCTATCTCCTTGCCACTTAGTTGTATTTCCAGAGTTTTGGTCTGCTCTTTCCTTTGGACCATGTTTCTTTGTCTTGGTGCATCCACTTAATTTTTTGTAAGTTCTCAGGAGGGGATGGTGATGTGCTCTGGGTCCCTGGAAGCAGGTGCATAAGCACCAGAGGTTGGGGAGGCTTGTCCAGTCAGCAATTGCTGCTCCATCATTTCACTTCTGTACAGCTAGGTAAGACATCTCACTGTGTCATAGGTTTTGGTAAAGAACACATAGCCAATCAGAAGCCATAGGAAATAGTTTGAGCACCTCTAGGCACTGCTCCTTGGGACTCTGCTCAGACAGAATCACTTAGGTTTTCTATTCCTCAGTTTTCTCATTTGTAGAATGAAAAAATTATAACTTTTTTATGACTTAAGAAGGTGGTTCAGAAGAGCAACCTTGATAATGCATTGGAAAGTGTTTAAAAATTATTTAAAAGGTAGGTGAAAGTTAAAGTATCATTATTACCAAAATTTTCTTCTATTCAATCATTTCTATCAGTAAACAAACATGCCATAATTTCTACAATGGAAAAAGAACAAATATTTTATTCGTCCTTGTCAGTGACAAATAAAATATTTCACAGGTGCATACTTACAGTATAAAAAACACATCAGTGGAATAGACTTTGGTCAGGTCAGGGAATATTTTAAGCCCAGTGTTGAAAATGCCACTAAAGTAATAAAAAAGAAAAAAAATAGATATCAGCTGAGAAAATTAACATATAGGAAGTAGAATAATGTAATACCTGAAAGTATGGGTTTTGAAGTAAGACAGAAAGCAAATCCTAACTGCTGCACTAAATACCTGAGTGACATGGGCAAGTCCTAACCCTTGGATGAGATGCTATTCCCTCAAGGTACAATAATCTAATCTAGTCTACCAGTGTCAGAACATCTTTTTTGTTTAGAAGAACCTGGGGATTGTTTAAACCAAGTAAGAGTCAAAGGAAAAGCATTCAGATTTCTGTGTGTGTGTGTGATTTTAATGTTTTAATTGGAAGACATTGTGGGTGTCCATGTGTGTGTCTTGTGAGGAAGGAATATGGGAGTGGGGCAGGTAGACAACGTAACTACCCAACTCCAAGCCAAGCTTCCTCTTTCAAACTCTACTTTGTACTGTGCTCATTATTTTGCAGGGACCGTTTCCTCCCGGCAGTCACTGGGAGTACCATGCAGCAGCCCCATTTAAAAACTGTGTCCAGCCAAGGAAAGAAAGCAAAGATATATTTCCTTTCCAAAGTTTGTATCATCAGGACAAAATGTCAAAAATAAAAGATGTATGTTAACAGCATAAACACAAAAACTCTCAGGTTCTGGATGCCTCCCAGATTGAGTTGGTAGCTACTAGAATATAGGTAGTAGAAACAGGTGTTTTTTTTGAGAGATTTGGCATGGCATGGCATGAGACCTAGACACTACCTGGGAAGCTTTAACCAAAAATCTTCCAGCAGAAAAAAACTCTAGTTCCACTGATGTACCTTCTAAGGTGACTTCTGACCTGATTCCTTTTAGAGAGGACAGAGGATTTGAAGAGGAAGCAGGAGCCAGAGGTCTCAGAAGAAGCAAATGGAACATTGCAGAGAACAAAGGAGTGACATGAACAAAGTAGTTCAATTGCAATAGTGGTTCACGTGGGAGAGTAGGGGAAACAGGACCAAGATACAAGTGGGGAACATATAGGAAAGGGCTGAAATGCCAGATTAGGGACTTGGATCAGGATCTCTCTACTCAAAGACCTAGACAAGTCCATCTCCTTTCTGATATCTCCTCAAAATTACCTGCACCCTCAATACTGTATGTAGTTCTCATTGTTCATTTACCATTATTCTCCTGTATGGGAAGAACTTTTCTGTTTCATATATAGTATTCTCCCCAACTAGACTGTAAGCTTCTTGAAGGCAATATTTTAGTATCCTATGTGTTTCCCATAGAGCCTTGCACATAGCAGGGATCATTATGTCAAAGTTATTTATTGATTGAAACGCAAAGTCTATACAGGAGTGACTGCCTTATTCCATAAGTTGTTGTCACTCCCCAGACACCCCTTCAGTCACATAATCCATTAATATCCCTGTCTAATCTTCCAGCATCTCCTGATCCTACCTCTTCAATACTGAACTATTCTTAGTTCCTCCCCCAAATACCACCTTTGTGTCTTTTTTAAAGAGCCCTCGCCTGAGGATATGTTTTTATTGATTTTAGAGAGAGGGCAAGGGACACAGAGAGAGAAAAACATCAATATGGGAGAGAAACATTAATCGGTTACCTCCTTGTACATTCCCCAACCAGGGATCAAACCTGCAACCTTTTGGTGTATGGAAAGATGCCCCAGCCAACTGAACCACCTGGCCAGGGCTACCTCTGCGTCTTTATCATGCTTTCCCATCCATCTGTATTTCTCTTCTACCTCAACCCCCTTCTTTTCCTGGGTAACATCTATTCATCCTTAAAGACATTTCATAAAGTATACATGGCTATATATACTTTTATATAAAATCCCTAGATGGAGATGAACTGTGTCAATAGTGATAATTTCTGGGCATTGGGATTAAGGTTGATTATAATTTTTTTCTCCCTAATATTTTTGTGTTCTTACCTTTTAAAATGCATGTGAGCAGGAAAGTGGGAAGATGGGAGGGGCTCCTCCAGCTGGAGCCTAGGGGACCTGAGGCCACACATGTACATCCACTGAACATGGTTTTGTTGAGGACCTACTCTGTGCTAGTCAGGAAAGATGTAACAGAGAATACCAGTGTATTCTGCTCTCATGGAACTACGCTTAAGGTGTCACCAAAGCTAAGCAGTAAGTGCTGTCCCTTCCATTTCTGTCCCGACAGCCTCCAAGAGATTGGATTTAACCCTTTGTGGCTTTTTTATTTTTGCTATGTAGTAACTACTCTCATGTATTTGCGAAACCTTTTTTCTGGTAAAATTGGCCAGTGGGCACTCAGAGTTCTTCATTTTGTTTTGTTTTGTTCTGTTATACTCTATTTAAAAACATATGTGTATATATATGTATACACATATATATATAATGTTTTTATTTTTTCCTTCATGTCTCTTGGAGCAGGTCTCTGGTCCCAGCACTACATGCTAACTTTTGAATAGGTTTTTATTTTTACATAGAATTTACTTATTTTTAGAGAGAGCAGAGGGAGGGAGAAAGAAGGAGAGAACATTGATGTGTAAGACAAACAGCAATCAGTCGTCTCTAGCACTCCCCCAACCCGGAGCCTGGCCCACAAGCCAGGCATATGTCCTTACCGGGATGGAACCCATGACTTTTTGGTTTGCAGGATGATGCCAAACCCACTGAGCCATACCAGCCAGGGCTGAAGAGGTTTTTAAAAATGTGGACCATTTCACCTGATACCTTGCCTGATGGGAAAGGGTGGGGAGTAAGCCTTAGGATGTGATTTGCCCAGGTCTTACCCCACTACAAAATGATCCTGGCCCACATCATGCCAGGGAGATTCCTGGTAGACAATAACATTATAATTCTCTGGGAAAAAAAGTTAAAAATGGTATTAGAATAGACTTACTACTTACAGGAACTTGAGAAGAGGCAGCTCTTTTAGGGCACCAGGGTCTATGAAAGTTAAGCTTCTGGTATTCCGAATCTCTCTATAAAAGTTACAGAGAGCACATTCACCATAATACATCCATTTCTGTTCTTAGCAAAGATAAAACAACATAAATCAGGTTTAACATGAGAAGAATACACATTGACGTGACACCCCACGGACTCTTCCTGCCGGAAGTCAGTCCCAACACAGTGCTGAGGGCTCTTCACAGAGATGCAGTAGCTGTTCAACCTTCTCACATCACTGACTTCATTTTGGTCCATTTGCCTTTATGGTAACCTTTCTTTTAATCTTAGTCCCAGAGCCTTTTCTTAGTTTGATATATAAGTAGAAAAGAAACACCTCTTCAGTGGTTTCTGGAGGACAGAAACCTCCATTATTGACAGGAGCGAGAATCCTGGCCCCGGTTGGGAGCTTGAGTGGCTTTGATGGGTGGCGGCAAGGTGATGAGGGCAGTGAGGTGCCTCTGTTAATTGCTATTTCAGGAGTAGTAGATGTAGTGAGTTTCAACAGTTCCCTTGGGTTTCCTACGCCATTAATTGAAGACTCTTCAGCATATGTGATACAATATCACATGTGTGCAATCTACATAGTTGGGTTTGCAGGCATGCTCATCAAAATGCACAGTTAGCATTTCACAGAAACTAGTGATTGTTAGAAATAGGCTTTCACTGGTCAAGTTAAATGTAGTCAACATACATAGATTGGTTAGAAGAGTTTCAAGGTGCTCCCCGTGCTTATGGGAAGAGCACAGAGGAGCCCAGGAAGATGCATGGCCTCTCCTCTTTGGGATGGACCCAAGGCTTGATGCCTGAAGGGACCTGCATTCAGTTGCTGATAGTGACAATGACAAGAGTTAGTATACTGAAGGAGAATTTCCACAAATTCATGCATGGCAGGTACACAGTTAAATGATTCTGGGTAAATTTAAGTTTTTATAAAAGATTTTATTTCTTTATACTTAGAGAGAGGGGAGGGAAGGAGAAGGAAAGGGAGAGAAACATCAACTGGTTCCCTCTCGCATGCCCTCAGCTGGGGTACTGGGCTCACAACCCAGGCATGTACCCTGACGAGGAATCAAGCCAGGCATCTTTTGGTTTATAGGCCACCACTCAATCCACTGAGCCCACCAGCCAGAGCAGATTTTTGGTACCTTTATAGAATTGGGCAGCCATCACCACAATCCAGTTTTAGAACCTTTCTGTCAATGATAAAAGTGACCATATGTTCATTTGCAGTTAATTCCCACCCCCTTTTCCATGCTTAAGAACCACTAATCTGCTTCCTATCTCTATGGATTTGCCTTATCCGGGCATTTCATATAAATGGAGTCACAGATATGTAGTCTTCTGTGTCTGGCTTCTTTCCTTTAGCATAACGCCCGTGAGGTTCATCCATGTGTCACGCATCAGCACTTTGCTCCTTTTTATTGCTGAATAGTCAGGTGGACCTGAGATTGAATCTCAGCTCTGACACTCTGGCTGCATGGCTTGGGGCAAACGCCTTGACCTTCTGAGCCACAGTTTCCTCATACATAAATAGGGACAATAACAGTTCCTGTTTCATCATGGGACTCTTGTGAAGATTGAGTAATGTCTATAAGGAATTCGATGTGTGACCTGGCACATAGTGAGGGCTCTGTAAATGATCATTTTATTATTGTTATTCTCCTAAGTGGAATGAAAGAGCAGACACCAAGAACTTGGGTTGGGCTGCAATGTTCATACAAAATGTAAAAGCAAACCACCACCAACAAAATACTAGGTTTGGTAGTTGACTAAGGATGTTGAGTATGAAACTGACCTTGGAAAAGAGAGGGTGGAATTAACTCTGAGAACAGAAACCATCTACCTCAGTTTACCGTCTATGTTAATATAACCTTACTGGCCCATTATTTTCATTGCCATAACTTTTTCCCAGATAAATAACTTTATTGTTCATTATGGGTACTTCTTAAAAGGCCTATCAAGCTTCCACAGAATATCAATAGTTTATATCCCAGAACTCCGAAAACCCTCAGTTCAAAACTTTTGTCTTGTTTCCACTAATCTTATCATATCATGATCTTTACCCAACCAAGACCCTGCATTGAAAGACCCACTTTAAACTACATTTAAATTTTTCTGCTGTTTTGATACTAAAAAACCTCTCCCCCAAGAATCCCTCTCTCCTGGGTAAACTGGGGCGGGTGGCCACCTGCTGCACAGTCTCACATCTGTCCCGCCCTGACCTTGTAGAGACACTACAGACTCTGTCAAGGTGGTACTGTCTCTGCAGGGTGAGCAATATACTCCCTGCCAGAGCTTCCCATTTGGGGAGGAGGGTCATTTGGGGAGGAGGGTTTGAGCCGCTGTCAGAGACAATCAAATGTAAACAATTTAGGAGAGTTTAGGGAACTGTCTTGAGTGTGGTTTGTAGTCTAGAAAATTGTTCCATAAGAGTCTGTGGTTTAATAAGCAGACTTCAGTGAGTGACCCAAGAGAATGTTACAATGAAATGAAGTGCAGCCAAATGAATCAGCTTTAGAGGTAATGAATGAAAGGGAAAGAGGCAGTACTGTTGGTTACAGCTGATTAAAAGAGCCGCAGCCTTCATGGCTGATGTGAGAGGAGAAGGAGGTGGGAGAGGCTGCAGGAGAGGGGGTGGGGGAGACACAGAGAGAAGATGGATTTCTGGGGCAAATGTAAGAATTAAAGGAAAGATAAATAAGAGATACTGCAAGAAAATACCAGGGAAACGAAGCCACATTCCAAGGTAAGAAGGCAGTCAGCTCAAAACCCGCTCACAAGTGACTTAAAAAAAATCTATGCTGAGAGAAAGGTAAACTGTGTATGCTATTGCTTATATGTGGGGTCTAAAAAAGCTGAACTTGGAGAACTAGAGAGCGTAGTGGCTGTTAAGAGCCTGGGGGTTCGGGATGGGGAAATATCAATCAAAGGGAACCGAATTCTAGTTATGAGATTAACAAATTCTAGGGCTCTAATATGCAGCACGGTGACTATAGTGAATAATGCTGTACTATGTACTTGGACGTTGCTAAGAGAGATCTTAAATGTTTTCACAAAAAAGAAATGGTAATTACGTGATGGATGAAGGTGTTAGCTATTACTATAGCAGAAATCATTATGCAACATGTAAGCGTATGAAATCAACACCTTGTAGGTTAAACTTACACAATGTTATATGGTCAATTATAGCTCAGTAAATCTAGAGAAAAACTAAAAAATCTGCTGAAGCAAGGAAGGGGCAGGAGTGTGGACTGCCAGTAGTTAATTAAATGGAGACAAGGTCAGAAGTGAATGTAGCTGGTAGAAGAAGCTTTTCTAAGAAAGAAAGGAAGGAGGAGTAGAGGTAAGAGCCATAGAACCTCTGATCATAGGAGAAGGGTGAAAGAGGGTCCGCATTTGAATGAGTTCTGAGCATGCCTGGGAAGTTGAATGCGAATCACAGTTTTCAGTCAAGCAATCGTGGCCCAAGCGTACAGGAGGGTAGTGATGCTGCCAGGAAGTTGGGGGTACCGAGGGAAAGGAAACCTACATGTAACTGAGTACCGTGGGTTGGAATGGAGATGTCTTCCCTGTTGGTATGAACAAAAACTGAGGGTGGAGGGGCCACTAGGTCAGCAGCCTGGATCCCTGCATGGCTGCATGGGGGAGAGCTGCCCTGCCGACCTCCTTCACCCAGGACTGTCCCGGGAGCAAGAAATAAACTTGGGTTACCTTAGGTCTGTCTCACGGTTTTATGTTTGTCCATTTCTTATAGTGATTAGCCCACGGAAACCAGTACAATAAACACTGATAAAATTCTTAACATACAGAGTACACTGTTCACAGTGGTCAGCTCTGGGAGATAGGTTTGGAGAGTAGAAAAGTGTGTGACTTTCACTTTTTATTTTTATCTTGTTCAAAAGAAGAAAAAATGTAATAAAAGGCCTGCAAAAATCCTCAAGTTAAAAAACAAAGCAAAGCAATAGAGATTCTATATCAATTTTTAAAAAATATGCTGGGCCACATAGTGTGTTCAAACTCTTCAAGTACGCTCTTCTGTGGAGTGGGGTGATTTAGCTGTGTCAGGGAAATAGCTGAGGATTGTGAAGCTGGTCGGTTAGAAAAACCCAGCTTTGGAAGGTTAAAAGATAAAAAAGGGAGTGGGTATATACTTTGTATTACTCAAGATGGTTCTGCCAGTGAGGGAATGGCAGGACTGACTTAAGGGAAGGCGGTGACACCATCCCCATGTTACGGACACAACAGTGGAGACGCGTTTAGAAAGGTGAGAGGCCCCATCTCCTCCTGTCAAACAGCTAGAGGCAACCCTTGGCCTTGATCTAGGACTTCTAACTCCAAATTCAGCCTTTTTTGCTTTTTTAAGTAATGGGAAATCACCCACTAGAACTGAGAAAAATTTAAATACTCATCATTGTTTAATTTCCCTTCATTCGATTTCAAATTATATTGACATTTAAGCAAAAATTGTCAGATCGATGCCCACGTGTACAGTGTTTTCAGAAACCAGCAGATTAATAACTTAGCATATATTAGGTTCACTTTAATCATATGTCTAGATCCTGTTTTTTTAAAATTTTTGTCCGAGGAACATTTGTTAAGTCTCAATAAGAGCCAAAAACCAGAGAAATTGGCTTATTTAAAATAACTGGCATTATGGCGGGCACTTAGTAGCCCAGCCTAGACCCCAAGAATATGAGAAATCAGCAAGGTGAGAGAAGGGAGTGCTCAGGTTGGAGGGACAGGGAACCAAAAGAGAGAAAAGGGAGGCCTAAAACCCCTCTAATCAAGGAACTTTCCAACTATTGATTTTCTTCCATCGTCTGGTGGCCCCCTTCCCACCTCAGTTAAACAGGCATTTGATTGTGGCATTTGACTGTGATCCTCAGGCTTAGAGGTATTTGCCCACACCCTAAACATCCCTAGTCCATGAGCAAAAAGCACGCCAAGCTGGAAAACAAATGGAGGGCAATAGTGAAGCCAAGTTGGCCTTTCACCTGCCAAGTTCAATGGGGCCAAGGGAGAAGAGGAAGCTTCAGACTTGCACAGGGCAAAGAGAAAGACTGAGAGTGAAGTATCTGAGGAGCAGAGAAGCTGACCTGGTCGGCATAGCTGGACTTTTAAGAAATATAAATGTGTTAATGTGTAAGATGACACTGTTTAAAACAAGAAACTGAGGGAGACGTCAGCCAAAACCTAGCCTCAGCCAGTGCCCAGCTTCTTTTTAACTTTTACTTTATTTTGATTTTCAATATTTTTCTAGTCTGCTTTTAAGTTCCAATAGTACAAAAAAAAAAAAAAAAAGCAGAGGGAGGCCACTCTGACTTCTAGGTCTGCTTGCTCTGGTGAGCAGAGGGGGGGGTAAGATTCACTAAAAGTAAACGAATAATTATTAAGCATCTGTTATGCATAACTTTACCACATGCTCTGGGAGATCTAGGGAAGTGGAAACTAATTATTTAACTACTTTAAAAACGAGATGTGCATGTATTGGCAAAGCCATCATTGTGTTACTTTGAATACTTCAAATGCCATACAGTACCAAGGTGAAAACTGGGACTAGAATTAGGTAAATTAATTTTAAAGTAACATTTTAGGTTAGACTTTTAAAACACCATCATAAGTCACCTGTGTATTTTTAACATCAAGTACTAATTTCAAGATTAATGAATATGAAAGGAAACTTTAATTTTTTAAAATTTATTTAAATTGACTATAAAAATGTGAAATCTCTCATAATTCCGTGATTCAAAGAAAATCAGGTTTTTTTCCCTTTCTGTAAGTATATGTTTTATTTTAAATAGCATTATGTCAAAAGCATTTCCTCTGGGATCAAATAGTCTAGGACAACAGACTTATAATGCTTGCTCAGTATTTCGTATTCAACTATTCTACTTAGCTAAGCATGTGAGTCATTTCCAAATTTTTGCTATTATAAATTAACTCTGAGACAAATGGCTTTCTATGTAAATTTTTCTTACTCCAGCGTTTATTTTATTAAGGAAAATTTATAGATGTGAAATTACTCAAAAAGTATAACATCTGACAAAGTTCTTGGAATATATTAGATCTTTAGCTTCTAAAGTCCTGATTTTTAAACTAGCACGCACTTTTTAGTAGTGGTCTATAAATCCACAGAATAAGTCATCTCTATATTATCAAGGCTTTTCAGTGAAATAAATCTTAATTAGTCTACTTTGATAATTATCGATGAAGTATTTTAGTACTAACATTCCATTATGTGACTGGGGAAAAAAAAATCTATAGCCAAAGGGTGATAGTCATGACGCTGATGCATCATCTAACTTATTGAGGAATTAAAATAATAGATGTTAATTCAAATTCTTTATAAATGTTGAGGTTTTTGAAGCAGACTGAGGAAAATATATGTTTATCAGAAGATTTTCCACTGGAAATAGAACTTTATAAATGTAATTTTTTGAATCGCCTGGAAGATACATATTGCTCCTTTCATGATTATGTAATGATCAAGACTAAGACCGGTTCTCTAAGACTGCCAATAAATCCACTTGATTCAATTTAATGAATTGACAAAATTAAGTTTTATTACACTATTTGCTAAAAATCACATTTTATGTACCTAGCTGTCGAATTGGTATTTACTTGGGATTTTAAAAAATCCCTATAAAAGTAAAAATGTCCTTCTGAAGGCAGCATTTTATTTAATTATGTCTGCTTTTCATTAAAGAGATGTTATGGTTTTCCAATGGTTTTGGAGGCGGACGCTCTTGGTTTCAAATTCTGACTAATTTCTTAGCTGAGTGAACTTGGACAGGAGCTGTCAGCTGAGTGTTATCATCTTCATTCTACATAGTAGAAACTGGGGCTGAGTGAGATGAAGTGGGCCAGTATGTGTGAAGCACTTAGCACAGCGCTTGCCCATAAAAGGTGTTCAGTGATTGGGAGTTATTGTTAATAGGAGCACCAACAGCAATCACTTATATTCTATTGGCTTCTTTAGAGAGGAGAGGAAATAGATGGAAGTGGCCACCAGTGTTTCACTTTACAAGTATAAATGTTTATCAGATGTACACTTTAGGGTCCAAATAGTACCCTGGCTGAAGTTTAAAACCCAGGATAACTGGTTTATGTCTACTTAGGAGCCTCAGTAAGAAACCTGTAAATCTTGTAGTTTTCTCTTGCTAATCCTCAATGTCTTTTAATCATCTTTAACTGATATACCAGTATAATTGCCACCTCTTTTGGCTACCAAATTACCCTAAACAAAGTGGTAAAATAACAACCATTTTACTACAGCTCAATTTTGTGGATTAGGATTTCAGCCAGGGCTAGACTTGGTGATTCTCTTGCTCCATGTGGAATCCACTGGGACCACTGGCTAGTATTTAGCTGGTGTCTGGATTGATCTGGAGGGTTCCATGTCTGGGGGTTGCTAGAAGGCAGGGCTCAGCTGGGCCTTTCTCCATCATCATGTAATCTAAGGACCTCCCCATACGATCTTCCAATTAGCCATAGATGGACTGTGATTGCCATCTGGAACCCCGAAATTATCAATCAAGAATGGCAGTAGCTTGGTTCTATGCTGCATTTTTCTTTTTCTTTTTAAAAAATATTTTGTTTATTTATTTTTCAGAGAGAGAGGAAGGGAGGGAGAAAGAGAGGGAGAGATCAGTTGCTTCTCACATACCCCCCAACAGGGGACCTGGCCCATAAACCCAGGCATGTGTCCTGACTGGGAATCAAACCAGCGACCTTTCAGTTCACAGACAATGCACAACCCATGGAGCCACACCAGTCAGGGCTTATGCTGCCTTTTTCATTGTACTTACATATGCGTCATTTTACTCAAATTGTAGAAGGAATGTGATTCCAGCCGCTGCAGAGTTGCATCTATTGATAAGTAGCTGAACATCATAAAAACATAAGACAAAATAAAAAATTAGGGTCGTGAACTCCAAACATACTATTTTGATGTAACTTCTTTGTCAGGGGCTCCCTAGATCATAAAACACATTTAATATTCATGGTCCCTTCCAAATAATGTTAAGATTAGTTACTATTTTTTTAGATCTGTGCGAGATGTGAAAGTTTCTCAATAAACGAAATCTATTCATCCTTCAGGTTTCATTTAATTGATACTTCCTTCAGAAGCTTTCCCTAAATTTCTGAGTAGGTCAAATTTCTCATAATATATCCTCATGACAGCATGAAATTCTTTCCCTAATTATCACAATGCAACTTGGCAACTGTTTGGATGAGTTTGATTTATGTTGTCTCATTAACACCCCAAATTCTCTGAAATGGAGAACTATGTTTGTTCCTGGCAGCCACTGAGTCTCAAATCCCTTTCCCAGTGTTTGACATGTAGCAGACTCCTAATAAATGTGTTAAGTGAATGAATGATTAAATGAATGAATAGATAAGTTATGCAAAAGAGCAGAAAATGAAAGACACTACAAAAAAACTCAAGGATGAATGAGGCATTTTTAATGGACTACCTAATACTATGGAATTAAAGATGTAATTTCAAAGAAGATGAAGAGAAATCCATAATGCTTTAGTGGAACATTCCATGGAATGATAGCTACAATGTATCTCAGTAATTTTGTTCTTGATTTTGATGATGCTAAAAATTTAAGGTTTGTTCCGAACTTTTAAGTGAAAAGATAACAAAAGTTTTACTTAATAAAAAGGGAGAAAGAGAAATTTCTAACTATAAGAATATATAAGGAATGACATTTCAAATAGTCTCCTCCGATTTCATCTTGTAATGAGGATGCCTAATGCAGCCAAGTTCAGTGATGGGATTTTTACTGAGAGGAATGTCTATGACATTTGGGAAAATTAATGATTAACAAATGGTGTCCACCTGTAGACATATTGGAGCTTTTCAACCCTGGCCATAGAACTGAACTCCTGGGAAGGCTATTAAAACAAAAAGAAGTCCAAGACTTGGTCCAGGATAATTAAGTCAGTGTTTATGAGGGATGGGGCAAACACTTATATTTTATAAAGCTTCCCAGATGATCCTACTGTGCCCTAAAGTAGGGCTCAATAAACATTTGTTAAGTGAATGCATGAATATAGACGAGTGGAGACACAAAATAGGTCATGGTACAGCAAGATGAGGGAAGAGGAAGAGCTGAAGGGGAATTTGAGGTTTTCAGCTTGCAGGCCACTAAACAGTGGTGCTGTTAAAAGGACTAGGGAAGGGGGAAAATGATGAGTTTATTTTGAACATGCTGAGTTTGTCCTGGTTGTCGGACACCAAGGTGACGATATTTGGAAGGAAGTTGGTAAAGCAGGCCTAAATGTAGGAGCAGGTCAGGGCTAGAGATGCTTTTTTAGGAGTTAGTTGTATTAGATAATAATGAAGTCACTGGCTACACTTATGGAAAAATATAAGCGTTTGTACTAGTGGTAAAAAGTGAGTAAGATAGATTGATTATACATAGATAGAGAAATCTGTTTATGGAAGAGATTTTTAGGTAAGATTTTGCCACATTCCAAGATATATTAAAATACATCAAGAATTATTAAATTTTCAAGAGCAAACTAATTTTAATTTATTTTAGCTTTAAAAATCATTTAGGATTTAGGGAATAGACATATAACAAAATCAAATAAACATCTTGAATATTTGAATGCATGATATATGAAGATAATTTTTCTGGATAGGACACATTTAGAAAATAACATGTCACAATTACAAAATTTTTATTTAAAAGAAATGACTTACATTCTGGAAATATTGGGCAGATTTGAAAATGCATAACTGGGAATGGTTTTCAGATGAGTCTCTGTAAACTTCCTATAAAAATGATACATGATTAGAGTTTTAATCATTGGATTTTTCTCATAACTCACCTTAATTATACAGAGCACATTATTAGAGGCATGATGGCCCTTACGATATATATTTCATCATACAAAATCAACAAAAATGATACTCATTGGAAAAACATACATTTCTTCCCCACAAAACAAGAATTAAGAGTGAGATTCAAATGCAGCAAATAAATCCTCAAACTGCATCTTTGAATCAGCAGTAAATTTGTATGCTGTGTCTAACATCTCATATTCAGTTTGCTAACTAAAGGGCAGCATAATATAGTCGTAAGTTTCTTAGTACTACAGAATTCACATTATGTGCTTGTCAATGGAAATGCCATCAGAATATAAAGAGGAATTAAAAGTATTTGATATAGCTTAAAGATTAAAAACAGTGGTAAGGTTACAATACTTTTGGCTGAGTAAAAGTCCCTTCCTCTACTACCTTATTAAATCGTTTTCTTGATGCAGTTTGGAACTAACTGACAAGAGCTAATTCTCCTCAGGATCATGACATCTTTGTTGCCTATGAAACTTAAAGTTTGAGGCTCTTCTTCCAGTGTGCTTTTTTGGATACTTTTGGAAGTCTGAGACGGTTTTCCTTATAGATAATGAGACATCTTTGTGCATTCCAGTATGTCTGTCCACCTAGGTGCTCATTTTTCACTTGCTTTCTTTGCTAGAGCAACTGCTCAAATACAGTCCTGTGTAGAAAATACGATCCTGCTGTCCTAGCTCAGTTTGCATCATGCTTACCATCTTCCCCCTGGGGCTGTTTTGCCATTTAGATATCCATAACCTCATACCATCCATTTAGTATCTCATTTGAAGATTTTTGACTGCAGTTGTTATTTTCCTGTCTGGGCTGCAAGGATATTTTTTGACAATCTATTTCCTTGATCTATGCATTCTTTGAACTACTCATTTTTGCAGAACTGGAAACTGGAAATTCTAAATATGGGGATGGGCAAATGTAGGTTTACAGTTGTCCATGTGGAAAATAATACAATAATTAATAAATAATGCAAGAATAAATGCAGTGTTTTGTGTGTTCACAGCTGTAAACCTACTTTGGCCCCAGCCCGTTTTTAGAACTTCCAGTTTCCGGTTCTGCTCGTCAGGACCCTGGAAGTTCCCTCTCCATCCTAATAATGAGTAAAAAGCTGATCAGACTGAAAAATCAAAACCTCTTCTTGTATCTATAAGAGAGGGATGACCTAGGGCCAACTGCTGCCCCCAAGGCTGAGGAGACTGCCAGAAACACAGGGAGTCCCACTTCATGGAGCAGAGACTCCAAGTGGAGGCGCCCGGGGAAGCAGAGCCCGGCCAGGAACCCCTGCACTGGGACGATGTATTGCCGGAGGCCCAGAGTATGGACAGTTGTGAGAGTTGAACACTACAAGGGGACCCAGGCATAGCGGGACCTCCACAGTTTTACCTCCAACTGATAATGAGGTTTACCTCCATTATCTTGACCAGGTTCTAATAGTAAATGTCAGAGAGAAATCCCCTTGCTTGTAGCAAAGAGAGGGGGGAAGGAACTGCTTGGAACTGCATCAGGGCACTGTTCTTCTCTGTTCTTAACAAGGCCTGCCCACAGGGGAAGCTAGTTAACCGAAGCCTATCTGACCTGCGGAAGGGAAATACACAATTCCGGCCCAGTGTGGCACCCTGTCCTGCAAGGGGGAGAGAAACACACTGAGAAATACTTGTGAAGTGCACAGTCTAGAGGCACAGGCTCGCTAAATGACTAAGACTAATCATAGGACAATAGAACGCTTCCCCCTCTCCAACACCTCACCACCACATTACTACAGGCCTATTCATAGCAGTTCCTTGTACTTGCTATATTATGTCTGCTTATTAAGAATTATATCTGTAACTTGACAAATCACAGCCTCAGCAGGACCAAAATAGTCGCTAGAAGAACCTATTCAATAACATAGTCAGCATTATTGTGATGTTTGCATGGTGACAGATGATTACTAATCTTAGTGGGGCGGTCATACTGTAAGGTATAAAAATGTCAAGTCACTACATATTGTACATACAGAACTATTATAACTAACATAATAATGTATACCAACTGTACTTGAATAAAAACATATGAAAGGACCTATAAACTTGGAGGGTGGGAGGTGAGGTGAAAGACAAAAGGGCAGATTGTCAGCCCTTTGCAAACCTCGGTGTTTCAGCGTGAGGCCCAGTGTTGCCTTCAAATGATTTCAGAAATTCAGGTCCCATAAGTTACCTGCCCTTCCTCACTGAACTCCTGTTTGCATTCCCTTAAATGGGTTGAGTAAAAGCTTGTTGGTCCAGATCCAAGATTCTGAAGTTACAAAGAGAGGGGAATAACATCATGTGTCTGACTAAAATCTCTGAGAAAAACTGGGCCATGACGAAGGTAAACAAAGGGTAAGATACCCACATGTTGGGTACCACCCAGGGATACTGAGTGTCTTAAGCTCAGAGATAGTCTGACGTACAGAGCGTGTCCTAGGGCGCGGGTCCGGGGCATGCTTGTTATAAGACTGTACACACACTGCTTGTAGGTAACATGGAACTCATTTGCAACTTGCATTAGCTAAAAATTTGGGGTTTATGCTGTGTTCAAAAATACATAACATTTAATTTAAAAAATTGGAATAATGTTTCTAAGATGTTTGACTTGGAGCAGAAATAGCATCTAAATGCAATTTAATAAACTTTGGAGTAAAGATTCAAGTATTATTTACATCCTTTTTCAATGTCTGAATTTCTGAAATACATAATACATGTTTCTTGAATTCTCTCTTTCTCTTCCACACAGATAAGCACAAACATACTTTAAGTTGAACAAAGATCTTTTCCTAGTACAGGGTTACTCATAGTTGATGGGGTTCAGGACACCCTGTCCCCAAATATGACACCATGGCACTCTGAATATTTTAGGCAGGAAGAATTTGAGAAATAGCAGGTGCAGGAAGGACTCTCTGACCCTCCTTCTTCCCTAAAGCAAGTTATAAAGTCTTCATGTTGGAGGTGTCCTTGCTATACCCCAAGAAAAGGACCATCTTGATCTCTGAAGATAGCGAGGGGAATCTAAGGAAGATGCCTTGCTAGTTCCCCTCAGTTTACTACCATTATCTCAGACTTCTCTCTCCTATTATTTTCCCTTGACTTTCCACTCCTCATCAAACTAGTGTAACAATGTTCGGGTCTAACTACTTCTCCAGCTGCTCATCTCCCTATGAAGGCTTCTATGTCACATAAAACTTAGAAGAAATAAAGTTGTATGCTTTTCTCTTATAAATCTATCTTCTGTTAGAAAGCTCCAGTTAGTAAACTAGGGCAGAGGGAAAAAAATAAATGTGTATTTTCCTCCCCTGTAGTTTCTGGCAGCGAGGACAAGACAGTAAAAGGCTGCAATACTCCATTCTCCTTGGAGACTGCAGCTGAGGTCTGGATCAGCTGACAAAAAGCTGGCCAAGGTTAAGAGTGCTTACCAGGCCACTTTCATAAACCTTTGTCTTGCTTAGTTGAGTGAAGGAGATAAAAATTTCTCTTTGCCTCTTCCTTTCCAAATTCAGATTAGCAGGAAAAAAAACATTGACAAGAGTTAGTTGTTTGGATTGTGGCTCTTGGGAATTTGGTTTTGGGTCCCCATTGGTTACTGACTGATCCTCCATCCCACGGGCAGCTGTTGCTTTCTGGCAAGTTCTTTCGTGTCCTGAAACCTTGGGTTGGTTTTCACCTGCCAGGGTGTTCAGGTTGTCAGTTACCTTTCAAGTGATTCACCTAGGAGACAAAGATTCTGTGTTTTATCAAAATAACTTCCTGTGCTTTGTGTTGCCTTTTTGGGTCCTTTGATGAAAGGAAAACTAGTCTTGTTGATATTAAAAGGGTTTTGTTCATCCTTCTATGTAACCTTCTATATTAGCCTTTAAAATCTTTGTCACTTTGGTTAAATAGATGACCAGTATCTTATTTAATCAAGTGTTCATGTCTTTTGATATTTTGACAAACTTCCCCAAATCAAATTCTAAACAAAATGTTTTTGACTTTGAACCAATGCTCAGATTTCCCAGCGGTCCCTTGCAAAGCAGACTTAAAAAGAGTTATATGACCAATCATTCTTCTTGCTGCCCTGTAACTAATTTAGGCCAATTTTAATGAGACTAGAGTTATTTTTGCAAATAGAAATATCATCTTTGATTATCTTTGATAGAAATGGAGGTGACTGTAGAGAAAAAAATCTATTTCAATGCAAAATTATAATCCACCTTTGTGAATGTTTATTATCTTCGAGCTGTTTTCATCTCATTATAAACTGGATCCTGCCATTTGTACAGGTTATCAATAATTGATATTTTCAGTTGTTTCCCAGCTTCCTGACTTGGCATCACTACAGAGTAGAACTGCTCATTTCCCAAAGCCCTGCAAACTAAAGCTGGAGTGATATTAACTTTACTGTGACAGATCACGTGTAGGTACTCTTCCTGCCTACTGTAGTTTGGGCCACCCAGAAGGTCCCCGGGAACAGTTACTGCTATCACCAGAGATATTCAAACCAGGAAGTTCACTGGACTGTTACTGCCTGTCCTGACCACCTAACGATGCCTTGAACCCAACACCTGGAATCTTCTTGCCCTCTGGACTCAAAAACTGAGTTTATAATTTGTTCTATCCAGTAACCTTTCTTTTCTTTTATTCCCATTGCAATGTACCTCGTTACATGCCCAATTACTAAGACCACATTCAGGCCTAACTTTGGTGGGTGCCTGGGTGCCCTACTCCCTCCCATATCACTGCCTGCTGAAATGAGGCACAAATGTTTAGGACTGACTTATTCCCAGGACTGAGAGACGGGTTCAGTGGGACATGGGACAGTTTATCAGCTAAGTTTCTAGATAGTCATACTTCTTGGGGAAAGTTTCAGATTGAGGAATGATGGGATTTAGGAGATGTTACCCCAGAATATGGCACCTTGGCATGCTGAAT